GTTTTATAAAAAAGGTCCCTCAATCTATCGGCTAGTTACATTTTTGGATAGTTGGTTGGTTTTCCATTAAGTCCTATATGAATTAAGTCGACTGTATGAATTAATTTGTCTGTTTTTGTTTGAGAGAGTTTTTCATATATGGAAAGGGCATGTTTTTAATTGGGAGAAACATGTTTGGAAAAAAATTTGGGTTTTTATATAAAGCTCTTTCTTAATTAGAATTACGGAATAAGTCATTATTTATATCATTGGGCCACTTTCATACAATGTTGACCGAATAAGATGTGAGTCTTATTAAATTCGTTCAACTGTTAACAAAATCATTTAAATTTTAATATTAATTAAATTGTCATTTCTCGTATAAAATTAAAAATGTATGGTTCGAGGATTAATATTTAATAAATACAAAACTCTTTTATTATTCAATAATTTTTTATAACGCATATTATACATTAATATTACGCATAGAGTACTGTTTATTGATGCATATTACTTAAAATTGAAGATTACAAGTAAATTGTACATAGTACAACTTATTAAAGCTTCATTTTTTTAATTCGTGTAACTAATTGTATATAAATATAATCAAATACAAGATAAACATCTTATTTTAAATATAAAAACTCTAAAATGTAATTAAGATAAAAATTTGTCTTCTAACAAAATATTTAATTTTTATCTATATAAAAAATTATATTATTAAATCAAAATTTAAATACTTCATTATTAAACATAAATTAAATTATAAAAAAAAATAAAAATAAAATTGAAACATTGGTTTATCCCAAGCAAATTACTTCTTTTTAATTTGAATGTCAGGATATGGCTCAAATAATAAATATTCTTTTTTAGGTGGTCTACGAGCAGTGGTTTATCCCAAGCAAATTACTTCTTTTTAATTTGAATGTCAGGATATGGCTCAAATAATAAATATTCTTTTTTAGGTGGTCTACGAGCAGTGGTTTATCCCAAGCAAATTACTTCTTTTTAATTTGAATGTCAGGATATGGCTCAAATAATAAATATTTTTTTTTGGGTATCAAAATCTTATCTAACCGGCAAGAACTTGTTTCAGTTGCATATCATAAGTCTCACTTTCGCTACAGCGGTGGGTTCCTTAATCAAGCTACTGCCCGAACTTGGTGGTTAAACTCTACCGTGGTTTTGATACTGCAGGGGAGGTACATACTACTATATAAAAATGGAGCAATAACGCCCTGTACGATCCACATTAGATCTGGCCAACTACTCATCTTACCTCATCTACATTCTTGACGGCCCATCTTTGTCTATATCTCCATGAATCTAGGAACTTTTGTCGGGGGTTCGAATCCCTCATCGCACACAAGTGGCCGAGTAAATAGCTCTACGAACGAATGGAGAATGAGCCGGCGACTCATAGGCAGTGGCTTGGTTAAGGAACCCACCGGAGTCGTAGTAAAAGCAATTTAATACTAATATCGATATATTTTTTTCAAATTTTTATGATATCTTCAACTTTATCTTATATTAAAAAAAAGACATTATTATTTTCTCAAAACGATATAAAACCGTATTATATTGACAGAGACAAATAATAAGACAAAATATTAAAATCGAAATGTATCTCGCTGCATTGTACGAGTATCATTCTTTTATATATATATATATATATATATATATATATATATATATTCATGAACATATAAAACTTAATTTGATGTAAACATAATAATTACTAAAAATAATTTTTATTAAGAAATATTGCCTACAATTTTTTAAACAAATTTATGCCTAATGAGCAAAAATCACCTTACATCTTTAAACTATAACTAGTGTTTGACATCGTGCTTTGCGCGATGACGATAAATTTTTTAAAAATTTACTGAAATTAGCTAAATGAGTCGATGATCACATTTAAATATCAAACTAATAAGAATCAATATCACCTTTGATATATGAATCTAACTTATCATTATTGGTTGTTCTTTTAATATTATATATATATATATATATATATATAATATTAAGTCTTATATATGAATCTTTTATTATATTAAACTTTGTGATTGGTTCAAAATCATAAAGAAAAAATATATGTGAAAATATTGATTATAATCATGAGGTGTATTAAGAGAATTATTTTACCATAATACATATCAATTTATCTTCTACATATATTCTCATAAAATATTTATATTCACCAAGCAATAATTGTGTTGTTATTTAAATTGATATAATTGTTGAATATTTTTGCAATTTGCTTATATTAGTTCATGATATACTCATTTGTAATATTGGTCAAGAACCTCTTTGAAACCACTTTTTTCCTACATGCGATTGCATAAAATGAAAATAATAGCTARTATTATGRYCATTCTAGATATATAAGAGTCTGATTGATTTGTTATTTTTTCAATGACTTGTTCAAGCTTTTTACATTTATTTTAGACAGTTCATAGTTTGGTTTATTTATAAAAAAATCTTGAAAATAGAGGTTTTAATAAAATTATGTAAAATAAAAGATATGTATTATATTGAATTTCATATTTTAAATATAGGAATGGAAAAGTCTTTTACATATATTAAATATTTTAAAAAATCAAAAAACTAAGAAAAAAAAATTGGTTTCTAATGTTTAGAGTGTAAAACCCAAAAAAAAAAAAACTTTGAGGAATAAATAATTTATCTTTATTATTATTTTTATTTTATTTTTTTTTATAAAATACACACACA